AGGAATTCCCATAAGATTACCAGGTGATTTCTCAAAAGAAACCTTGCAGGCCAAGAAGGGGCTGGAAAGAAGTATTCAAAATCACAAAAGGCAAGGACCTACATCCAAGATTACTCTATCCAGCAAAATTTCCATTCAGAATGGAAGGGCAGATAAAGTGCTTCCCAGATAAGGTCAAGTTAAAGAAGTTCATCATCACCAAGCCCTTATTATGTGAAATGTTAAAGGGACTTATCTAAGAAAAAGAAAGAGATCAGAATTATGAACAGTAAAATGACAACAAATTCACAACTAGCCACAATTGAACCTAAAAACAAAAACTAAGCAAACAACTAGAACAGGAACAGAATCACAGAAATGGAGATCACATGGGGTGTTATCAATGGGAAGGGGGAGGAGGAGAGGGGGGAATGGTACAGGGAAGAAGCATAAACAGTAGGTCCAAAATAGACAGGGAGTGGTTAAAATATAGGAAATGGAGAAATCAAAGAACTTACATGTATGACCCAAGGACGTGAACAAAGGGAGGGGATGGTGTGGGAGGGGGTATACAGGGCAGAGGGGAACAAAGGTGAGGTGAAATGGGACAACTGTAAAAGCATAATCCATAAAATATATATTTTTAAAAAGCCCAGGTATCATTGACAGTAGGAAACAAATTAATTGATTTCTTAGTCTAATGTACTCTCATTTGCAATTCTGAGTGTTATCTTAAAAAGTTAATACTAAAAAAAGCAAATTCCTTTGTCAATTGCATTGTAATCAGATTGGTAACTATGTCATTTTAAATATATTTTTGTCATTTAGAGATAGTATTATTTTTTTCTGATGCATTTGTGAGAATGTTTTGTTGTCAAAAAGATCCATGGAAAGGACCCTGACTTATTATAAAATATGAGAGTGGATCCCCCAAAACTGGAATTTATTTATAAAAATGGTATATTTATTCTTAAATGTTTAAACTTCAGTCACCATCAAAGTTCTCTCCACTTGATGCAATACACCCACCAACATGTTTCTCCACTGCTCAAAACAGTTTTCAAACTCATCAATTTTGATGCCTTTAGTGCTTCTGCTGTTTTTGTTTCACCTCTTCCACATCAGTAAAATGTTTCCCTTTAAGGACTTTTTTCATCCAGGGAAACAAAAAGTAAAGTCGCTTAGGGTGCGATTGGGTGAATAGGGAGGGTAGGGCACCGGGGTCATGCCGTTTTTGATAAAAAACTGCTGAACACTCAGCAAAATGTGGGCAGGTGCGCTTGTAAATCACCCATCATGAAATGGGCAAATGAGTTGCGTCTTCAAAAAAATTTTACTGACCCTAAACACAGCCTCTCACAATAACACCAGCTGGTACAGCGATACAGATGGGTTCCTAGAACACTCACTTAGCAAGGGAAGCCACTACTACAAAGGGGTCTGCCCTCCAGACGATAATTCCATTTTTGTAGGGGTCCCTTCTCATACGAGTTTCTGAGCATAAATTTTCAAATCATACCTTTGAAATAGATGGGAATTTGTAGGGTTCTGGTAAATGACTGGATTCATAGAGATGTTGGCAAAAACCAGGATACAAAATTAATATGGGACTGAATGGACTGATAACTATTGTTCTTATAACTTTGTTCAAATTATTGCTGTTTGTTTTCTTAGAGTAATATGCTGAACTGTCAATATTGACACATTTATATTTTTCTCCCTACTTACACCTGTAAGAATTTAAAAATTCTTAATGAGTGTTAGTATTTTCATGACAATATGTTTATTTGCAAAAATCCAGTAGGAATCTGATTTTTTCCAGTTTCCAGTTGTGGTGTTATTAATCCAGACTTTGATTGGAATGTCACACTGGAGAGAGACACACTTAGATTCTGGATATCAGCAAAAAGCTTTAAGGAATAAAGATTGACTTCGAAAGTCAATAAAAGCCCTTTGGAGCCCTGGCTGGTGTGGCTCAGTGGATTGAGTGCCAGCCTGGGAACCAAAGGGTCCTTTTTTTGCCCTGTAGAAAGATAACTCAGACCCTCCGGCCTCCTCACCTCCTATGCTCTTTGCCTAGGCTCTGGAATGCAGGGACAGGGGTGTGGGGTGGAGAGACTTGTGGGCTGAGGTGAGGGTGGCTGGATATTCAGTAATGTTGGAAGGCCCAATCATTAGAAGTCAGACACCGTAATCTCCTGCTACAGGCCTTCATGCTCTATTGAGATAGAAAATGGGGCTGGTGAAGTATACAAATGCGAGGGACCGTGAAGTCTTTTGTTGACTCCAGTTCCTCATCTCCCAGTAGCTGTGAGTGAAAACCATCTAGAGCCCTGGCTGGTGTGGCTCAGTGAACTGAGTGCTGGCCTGAGATCTGAAAGGTCGCCGGTTCAATTCCCAGTCAGGGCACATGCCTGGTCCCTGACCAGGTCCCCAGTTGGGAGTGTGCAAGAGGCAGCCAGTCCATCTCTTGCACACATTCCTATCACACACTGATGTTTCTCTCCCTCCCTTCCCCTCTCTCTAATATAAACAAACTGCACTGTCCCTCTGTACACATCCTGTTTCCCTCTGCAGCCTAGGAGCTTCCCAAGGGAAGGCACTGGTGTTTCTTGTACTCAGAAAAGGGGAAGAGGTTATAGATGGAAATACCTAAAGGGTTTTGTGATATAACGGAAAGAGCCAGATTCTAGGAGTCAAGAGACTTTTAACTCAAATCCCAACTCTGCCACCACTTTCCTGGTGGCCTTGGGCATGTCACTTTTGCTCCCTATAAAATGAAAACTTGAACTAGATGACCTTAGAGATCCCATTCATCTCAAAAAGTTTATTATATTTTATGGGACAAGAAACCTTATTTTATTAATTTTTATCAAATGCAAGGGCCCAAAGTGAAGTTCTTATCTTGGCCACCTGGTGGCATTATTTCTCTACATAACCACAAACTGGGGTGGGTGGGGGGGCCCAGTGCTGGCAGAGCAAGAGAAAGAATTTAGATTAGAAATTAATAAGGGTAGAAAGGGAGAGGAGAGAAAGAGAAAGGGAGAGAAAGGGAGAGAGAGAGAGAGGGAGAAAGAAGAAAGGAAGGAAGGAGGGAGGAAGGGCAGAGAAAAGGAAAGAGGAGAGGAGAGGAAAGGTAGAAAGAAAGAGAAGAAAAGGGAAGGAGAAAAAAAAAAGAGAGGGGAGGGGAGGGGAGAGGAGGGGAGGGGGAAAAGAGCTGGCTGGCGTAACTCAGTGGATTGAGTACAAGCTGTGAACCAAAGGGTCGCCGGGTTCAATTCTCAGTCAGGGCACATGCCTGGGTTTTGGACCAGGTCCCCAGTATGGAGCGTGTGAAGGGCAACCATACATTGATGTTTCTTTCCCTTTCTTTCTCCTCCTCTTCCCCTCTCTCTAAAAATAAATAAAATCTTGAAAAAAGAAATGATCAGAAGACCAGCTATTTCAAAGGACTAGATGAACCCTGGAATCTGAGCCAGCTTCTTTTCTCCAAGGCAAGAGAAAATAGGTCTAATGCATTAAGTAGACACCTTCACTGCTAGATTGGCAAAGTGACATTTGGAGGGGTGGAAGAATGAACATGGTCATGAGGCCAGGGGGTAAACCATAGGATGAACCTGAACTTGGGCTGGGCATTCCCCTTCTGCTATCCCGTCTACACCCATTCCTTGCTGAAAAACCCAAACATCCTGGCACTCCATCTGCATCTCTTTACCTCTGGGTTTCTTCTAGAGGTTTCATCAAACCCACCACCGATTTATTGTTCTGAAGGGCCCCTCCCCTCACTCCAAGCGAACTGAACATCAAACATTGTAATTAGTTGGCAGAGGGCAAGAAGATGTTGAATATTTTAGAATCTGAAAAAGATTCACTCTTCTATGTACCCTACCTCCCACCCCTTCTTCCCCATCAAAGCAAGGGGTAGGGACATGGGCACCAAAGGGGAGGACCCAGTGAAGCACCTTTTCCAGTTGAGACTGAGATCATGGGGAGACAGGATGAGGTGTGGTGAGAATGTATCTCAGGAACCACAGCTCTAAAACAAGATTTGGGGACTGGAGAAGACAGTGCAGGTGCTACTGACCTGTGGCTCCACAGACTACAGCAGGGAAGGTGCAAAAGCAGAGGTTAGCAGGACTACTCAATACTCAGGAGCAGGAGCAGAAGCGAGGGCATGCCCAGGTCTGCTCAGGTCCTCCCAGGCCTTGTGCCCAGCAGGGAGGGAACAGGAAGCTGTGACTTCCTCTCCCCTTTCCCTCCCTGCTCTTAGCCTCAAGGTCACTTGCTGCTGCAATGAATTCCAACCTGTGTTGTAGTTGGCACTGTTCCCTGGGCTTGGTGATAACTGCTCAGTACCCTGCTCCCTTTTGTCCCAAACACCCCAAACTTTTCCTTTGAAACAGTCATCCATTCAAACAGCAATGTACAAAGTGCTTATCTTTACACTATTATATAATTTCATCACACCAATCTTGTGAAGCAGAGACTTTTACCTGAAAATTTTAAGAAAGGAAACTGAGGCTCAGGGGAATGAAGTAACTGACCCAAAGTCACCCAGCAAGCGAGTGGCGGATCTAGAACTCCAGAACCTCTGCTCTCTCCCTCCCTCCCTCTCTCTGACACCCCTCTGACTTCCTGTCACAGGCCCCCTCCCAGGCCCCTTCCCCAGCCCTAAGGGGGCACTCTCTGCCGAGAAGGGGGCTGCAGTTTGGTTCCTGTCATCCCCACGATGGGGCATCTCTGGTTCTCTCCCTGGGGTGGAGGCTTGGAGCTGCCCTTCATAATGTGATGATTCCCTCTTTTCTCCTCCCTTTCTGCCATAACAGACTTTCTACACACATGCGCGTGCGCACACACCAATCTCCCCGCCTCTCTCACCCTGCCCCACCCACCACCAATCCTGACCAACAGGCATGGGGTGTGTCATCCCATCTACACCCCGCCCTCAGAGGTCTGGGGCCTCCTGCTGAGAGTCCCCCTGCCCTACCCCGCTGTCCCCTGCCAGTCTGGCCCTGCTGGCTCTGCTGCCGGTCACTGAGACCTCTGATGCCCTGAGATGCCCACACCCAACACCTCTGCCCTGCTCCCCAGTTCCTGGGTCAATACCTCTTCTGCAGGCAGTGTGCTGAGTGTGGATGCTGCTGCTGCGATGCCTGTCGAATTCCTAGCCCTGAGGGCTGTGGTTGCCCTGGCCTATGGGCTCGTAGGGGCCATTGGATTACTGGGAAATTTGGCTGTGCTGTGGGTGCTGGGCAACTGTGCTCAGCGAGCCCCTTGCCCACCGTCGGACACTTTCGTCTTCAACCTGGCTCTGGCAGACCTGGGGCTGGCACTTACTCTCCCCTTCTGGGCAGCTGAGTCGGCACTGGACCTCCACTGGCCCTTTGGAGGCGCCCTCTGCAAGATGGTCCTGACAGCCACCGTCTTCAACATCTACGCCGGCATCTTCCTCATCACAGCGCTGAGTGTCGCCCGGTACTGGGTGGTGGCCATGGCAGCAGGACCAGGCACGCACCTCTCGCTCTTCTGGGCCCGCATGGCCACCCTGGCAGTGTGGGTGGCAGCTGCCCTGTTGACAGTGCCCACGGCAGTCTTTGGGGCCGAGGGGGAGGTGTGGGGCGTGCGTCTGTGCCTGCTGCGCTTCCCCAGCAGGTACTGGCTGGGGGCCTACCAGCTGCAGAGGGTGGTGCTGGCCTTCATGGTGCCCCTGGGCATCATCACCACCAGCTACCTGCTGTTGCTGGCCTTCCTGCGACGGCGGCGACGGCGACGGCAGGATAGCAGGATCGTGGCCCGCTCCGTCCGCATCCTCGTGGCCTCCTTCTTCCTTTGCTGGTTCCCCAACCACATGGTCACTCTCTGGGGTGTCCTGGTGAAGTTTGACCTGGTGCCCTGGAACAGCACTTTCTACACCATCCACACCTACGTATTCCCTGTCACCACCTGCCTGGCGCACAGCAACAGCTGCCTCAACCCGGTGCTGTACTGTCTCCTACGGCGGGAGCCCCGGCAGGCCCTGGCAGACACCTTCAGGGATCTTCGAGCACGACTGTGGCCCCAGAGCCCCGGCTGGGTGAAGCAGGTGGCCCTAAAGGAGGTAGGCAGAGTACAGAGCACCACCCCCCAGGAGAGTGGCCCTTCCACCATGCTCGCCACCTTGGACACAGGAACACCTGGGTGAAGGTGCAAGCTAAACACCCTCTTTCTGGGGCCAGCCAGGCACAGGATCCATGCATCCTAGGGAGAGGCTGGCCTGTCTGCCAGGCTGTGATGCCCTCATCGGACGTCTGAGCTGCGGTCTCACTCTGGGTGTGGCAGAATGGGGGAGGCCTGGGCCCAGGTCAGGGCTGGGTATGACAAAGCTTGTGTCTCCATTTGGAGGTGGAAAAGAAGAGGATCTTAAAATAAATCTCTGGATCACCCACAAATTGCCTTGACTTTTTCTCCCAATTCCAGCTCCATTTCAGTGTGGACAAAAGCATTCTTTGCCCCACTTCTGCCTCCTTGTGAGGATCCCCAGGAAATGTTCCCTAAGGGTTCTAAACTCATGGATCTGAGGTCAATGCTTACCTCCCTCTTGCCTGTCCTCCCTGTCCCCACATCTCAGACAGGGTGTGCTCTTGTCCTCTGGTGAGAGGGCCCAACATGCCCTCGTCCCCTGGCCATCTCCACCTTCTTACCCTCTCACTGGAGCCCCGAGGCTGGCACCTGCAAAGACCTCAGCTGCAAAAGCTGACTAACCTGCCGGGAGATGCCACATGTGGAATCTTGCTGGATCCCTGGCACCAGCCAAGCCTGGAGTGTAAAACCCTGGTGGTGGCTGGGAGTCCCTGTGTGTCTCCCTTAAATCGGGATTTAGAGGGAGAAGTGAGAACAAGTCAAGGATGTAGGTGAGGCACGGTGAGGTGAGAGGTGCGGAGGGAGGGTGGGGGAGAAGAGGAAGCTGAAAGTGGGGCTGGAGACTGGGAAAGCAAGGAAAGTGGTGCTGGTCTTCCCCACCCCACCAGCTTCTCTCAGCATCACGGCCCAGGGGTTCACATCCTAGCTCCAAGGGGACTCGGTGAGTTACCTTCTCTGCACCCGTTCTCACATCTGTGGAACGGGCTGCTGCCCGAAGGAGTGCTAGCCATTGTCCTCACGCTCCATGTGAAGTGGAGACAGAGCGGAAAAAGAAAAAAAATGAGGGGGTAGCTGGGAGGCCATAGAGGTCTCATCTGAAAGTTTTTAAAAAGATTTTATTTTTAGACATAGGGAAAGGGAAGAGGAGAGGGAGAGAAAAATGGACGTGTGAGAGCAGCACTGTTTGGTTGCCTCTCACATGCACCCCCAACCAGGGACCTGGCCGGGAATGGAGCCAGCGACCTTTCCCTTTGCAGGACAATGCTCAGTAAGTGAGCCGCCACAGGTCAGGGCTCCTCTGGAATGAATGTGACACGTTCTGGAGTAAAATCAAAGTTTTCCATAAGAACTGAGTGAGGAGCTGGCTCAAGCCCCTCTTGAAGGTGTTCTTTGGAGCAGGGGGTTCCCATTTGGTTTCCAGATTCCCAAGACCCAGCAACGACAAAGGTTGGCCACCACAGGGACTTTCTGGGGGGCAGCCCCTGGAAATGGAGGTGGTGGCAGAAAGAAGTTGGGGTGGAGCTCCCACTTCCACTGCCCCACCCCCAAGCTCTGGCATGTCCTACGACCTGTAACAGCTCTAGCCACTCGAGGCCCGACCGCAGCGGCTGAGGGCAGCGCGTGCACGCGGAGCCGCTCTGGAGGGCAGCCACAGGTGCCCTGCACCGGCTCAGTCCAGTTGCCGAGGAGAGGTTGTAAATAGCCACCCAGTTCACCATGTATTGACTAATATAAAGATTTAATTAGCCTCTCGATGTTTAATTTCCGTTTTGGATAATGTTTAAACTGGCTATAACACTACAGGTCTGTTCCCAGCCAATTCAGGATGGAAACCCTTACCCACCTGAGTACCCTTTTGCGGCCCCACCCGGAGCCCCTCCAATGGCCCTGCCTCTGCTGGGCTCCGGATATTGGCTCCTCCAGGGGCCCCTCTGCCTGATGAGACTCAGAGGTAAATATTGACAGAGTTGAAACAGGTCCAATCCAGAGATGAATGCACGTAGGCTCACCTTTAGAAGGGGTCAGGGTGCCAGGGGAGGGTGCAGCAATGGAGGTAGCTGGGCAGCGCCTAGCTACCTCCTAATGGAAAGGCATTGTTGTGGCAAAGAGCTGGGCCCTGGCTCCCGGCAGCACAAAGCCAAGGAGCTTTGAAACTGCAGGAGGGACAGAGTTAAGACCGTTTCCAATATGGGGTTTGGGAATGGGCAGTGACATCGTGTTTCCAAAGATGAGGAGGGGGTTTGGTCAGGGGGCTGCAGGAGGGGTGGCACCGCCGGGAACAGAGCCGTGGGCTTCTCCACACAAGCTCTGGCCCTGACCACCATCTTGCACTGGGTCCCTGTGAGCATGTGGGAGGAGGCCATGTTCCCGTCAGTGGTCTTTGGACACTAACACCCTCCTCTCACCCAGCACTGGTCTTTTTCCATCCTGTCCACCTGTATAGCTGTGAGTCCCAGCTGACAGCAGAGGGCTGCTGAGCCATTGTGGGTCGGTGTGTCTGAACCTGGAGCCCTGGTATTCCTAGGCAGAGTTGGGCGGGGTGCATGTGTTTGTGTGCATGTGTGTGCGTGAAGGACTGACCTCTTCCTAGGCCCTATCTGGGCCTGGCAACCCTTTTGCACCTAGATTTCCGTGTCTGTAAGACGACAGCGATTCCTACTGCATATTCCGTAATGGATGAGAAAGCACCTGGCAAGGGCCTAATGCTGGGTGAGAATCAGAGGGTCAGAGGGTGCTGGCTGCTCCGCAGTCCCACTGTCCACCGTGGGATTCCAATCCCTCTTTCCAGCTGAGGTCTCGAGCCCCATTCTCATCTCACCCCCTGAGCTCCCGTGGAGATCTGGGCACACAGGCCAGCATTTCTGCAACTCTAGACTCACCTCCCCCACAGCCCCAGGGTAGGGTATTAACCAGAAACAGGAAGTAAAATTAATCAAAATGAGAAATGAAATCAACCTAATCTGTCAAAGAGCCAAAAAGCAAGCAAACAGCTGCTCTGAGGGGAAGCATCTTGAGAAGTTACCCCAGGGCTCCTCCTGGAGAACCAGGGTAGAGTGGGAGCTGAACCTGAAAACAAACGACTCTGGGAAGACGCTCAGGGGGACTGTGTCGGAAGGTAGAGAAGGGGGCGAGGCTGACGCAGCCTCGGCACAGCATCCAGACGACATGAAGACAAGTTGCCTAGTACTGGAATCCCCAGCAGCCACTGGGACCTAAGCACCCTTCATCTTTACCCTTGTGTTCGTGAATATCAACAATGGTAACAAAAGTTGGTAGCAGTCTCTTTTGTTAGGTCCCCTGTCTTCAGTGAGGCCACCTGCCCCTTCTGTGAGAGGAAAGGGCCCCTTTTGGAGGAACGCAGGGTGCCACCTGGCTCTCCCCCTCACAGCACCCTCAGAACCAGCAGGCAGTCACAGACAGCGCTTCATAGGGTCCCAGGTCTTTAATTCTCCTTGCTTTATCTTTTGTTTTTTTACAACCAAACTGGCTGGGGCTGGTGGGCACTGGGGATCCATTGAAAAATCCCCCAAATTCAGGCTGAGGTTTCAGCAGTGTTGGTGAGGTGCAGGAGACGGTCAGGGCTTGTAGAGATTTTCCAACTCGCCCCAGAACTGTTCCCAGACGGCTGGGGGAGAGGTCGGACTAGGTCCCCTGTTACTAGAAGGAGGGGAGAAGTCATTACTCCCCCATCCCCCAAGTTCTTCGGAGAAGTGCAGATAGAAGGCTGCAATTTCTAACTGCCTACAATCTTCTGTTAAAAATATAAAACACGTGCAGTTGGCTTTGGTACAAAAAAAGAAAACAACAACAAAAAGACATTCTGGCCCCTGCGGGTTTTTCCCTCACCCCCAACCGACCCTTCTGGCCACCTCAACCTCCATCCCATCAACTCCAGGGAGCCGGGCTCTATCTCCCGGGGCTTCCACGGAGCACGGAGAGAGAGAACAGCAGTACAAGGTTGAGGGAAGAGGGACATGGCCCTGCCCACAGCCCTTCTCAAAGGAGCAGTAGGGTCCTATGGTCGCAGCCTGTCTTTAAAGACAGTGTTGCCGGGAGGGTGTCGGGGCGAGAACCCAGCAGCGGGCACGGTTCAGCCTGAGTAAACCCCAGTAGTGTTAAAGGGCAAGGCCCCCGATCCCTATGGCTTGGTTCCCATGTCCCTGGTCCTCTAATCTCCCGTCTCCCTCCATAACTAATAAACAATAAATAAATAAATTTTCCTAAAGTAGAGGGAAGAAGGCATGAAAAATTGGCATCTGTGGTGTAGTTTCTGGATGCCACCAGGGGCCACTGTGGCCTAATTCCCCCAGCTTCCTAAATGGCCCCTGGTATCCAAGGATCCCAAGAGCTGGCAGGGACAATCAGCAGTTCAAATGTTCCCTGGTCATTGGCAGGCTGGAGTCCCCAAGGTGTGCCTCCCTCAGCAACATTCTTCAGGGGGCACAGGAAGGAGGGAGGGGCCCCCTTAGCTCTCCGAAGCTACAGGCTCCCCGTCACGGCTCTCGGTCTCCTCTGGGATGTCCTGCATTCGGGTGAAATCTGAAGGGGACAGACAGGGCAAAGTCAGCGAGCGAGCAGGAGCCCCCACAAACCCGCACCCTGAAGCCTCCCTGCCTGCAGGCGGCGGAGCTCCGAGGCCAGGAGCCCCTGAGTGAGGGGAAACCTTCCGTCAACAAAGTAAGTAATGTACCCGCACCTGGGCACTTTGTACACTTTGTAAGTATATGAAGATACAATTTGATTAGTAAGATTCAAACTATTTTAAGATTAACTATATGAAGTTATAGTGGATTTTGGTTATTTTGTATTTCCTGAACCAACTATAAGAATTTGCAGGTCTCTGACATTTTTTTTTTTACTTTAAAAAATCTATTTCTACTTGAAAAGTTTGGGAATCACTGACTTATTGGACAAGTGGTCCCTACGTTCTTTGCTTCCTGGAGTTTCTCCACTCCTTCACCGTCAGACAAAACAGGAAGTCCTCGTGTCCACCCCAAGAGCTCCCGGAGGCCTCGGTGGCTGGTTAGGAGCTTCCCAAATGTTCCCATGCTCCAGGATGCAGGCTCCATTTGGAAAGCATAGCCCAAGGGCCTGAACCCAGGTTGCACCCTCCCTTTTTTAAAGATATTTATTTATTTGTTTGTTTGTTTATTTTTAGAGAGGGGAAGGGAGGGAGGAAGAGAAGGAGAGAAACCTCAACGTGTGGTTGCCTCTTGCACGCCCCCAACTGGGGACCTGCCAGCAACCTGAGCATGTGCCCTGACTGGGAATCGAACCAGCAACCCTTTGGTTCATAGGCCAGCACTCAATCCACTGAGCCACACCACCAAGGGCTGCGCCCCCTTCTATTCCGTGTTTCTGCCAGGATCTCACCTCGTGGACTATGGGGTGGAGACAGACGGCTGCTACCTTCCTCCTCACTGCCAGTGTCAGGGTCACTGCTATCTTGTAGCCGCTCCTCAGGGCTGCCCAGCTCCTGCCTCTCTCGATCTTCAAAGGGTCGATGGACAGAGCGAATAGTCACAGGCAAATCCAAGCGGTCGTGGCCTCGGCTGGGCTGTGGACGGTGGGCAGGAAGAGCAGCAGGCCAGGGAATGAGCAGTGGGAAGACGGCAGACCCTGCTCGGCTGCAGGCAGTGCACCCTGCTGGGCCCCAAGGCTGAATGCTCCCAGTAGATCCATCACTGACTAACTTCTTTCTGCACCCACCGAAAAGTTCCAGCCCTCTAACTAGTATCCCAATATCCTTCAAGTCTGTTGCCCAGTTTCACTTGGGCTCAAATCCCCGGTTCCTTTCAGGTTTTCCCATAGACCCAGAGGTCCACCCCAGGTCAGTCCACTGCTCCAAGCTTCCTTACCTGTGGTGGAGTAAAACTCAAGTACAGGGCATCGCCTGCAGGGAGGCTCCGACGCCGAGGATCCAGAGGCCTGCGGGCCCAGGGGGCCTCCAAGGGGAGGGGGTCGGCCTGGCCCAAGGCGGCCAGCTGCCTGCGAGCCTCTTCAGCCTCCCGCTCCAGCAGCGCCCGGGCCTGCTCGCTCTCCCGGAGCCGGGCTTCCAGGCTGCCAGCCTCAGCTGCCCGCTCTTCGCCAAGGCGCCGGCAGCGCCGCAGTTCCTCCTGCAGCAGCGTGTGTTGCCGCTGCAGTAACGCCAATTCCGTGGCCTGCTTTTCGGGGGCCACAGGGGTAGCCCCGGCTCTGCCAACCTCCCCATCCCGAGAGTTGGCTCGGGTCAGCTTCTCTCGTCGCTCGGGGCCCTCAGGGAATCGGGCTTCCATCAAAGTATCCTGCTGGGCCACGGCCGCCTGGGGTGGAAGGCGGACAGATGAGTATATGAGAGACCCCACCCCATTTCTTCTAGCCCTCACCCTCAGCCCCAGGGGCCAAGTCAGGATTCCTCAGGTGCTCCCACTCGGACAAGGTGCAGAAAGCCCAGCTGGAAGGACTCTGCCCTACCCGGGCAACTCTGCTCTGGCTCCTCCCCTTCCCTAGTCTAGCCCCTGCCCCACTGACCTGTAGGCCATGTAGAAGTCCATAAAGATTGACCAGTCGCTGTAATGCTTCCTGAGGATAGAGGATAGAGGAGAGGGTGGGAACAGGGCCCAAGCTGCGGGACGGGAGAACTGCCTGGAAGCTGAGTAAGTGTGGGTGTGGGGACAGTAAGACTCCAGACACTGCGAGGTGTGCACTCTCTCCCACGCCCCTCCAACCTGGGCTCCAATTGCTCAGACTGAGACTCCTCCCTTCAGTCTCCTACACCATCAAATTCCCATCTCACCTCCTGCGGAGATCTCAGCTGATTTCCATTTCGATCCTGCAGAAATGGGCAAGGGCAGGGAGTCAGCAGGCACACAAGTCTCTAGTACCTGTCCCTGATAGCTCTGTGTCAAGAATCCATAGGCCAGCTGTCCCTTTCCCATCCTCTAGCCAAGTCCCGACACCTCCTGAGGACCCACCTTCTGGCTGGAGTCCGAGTCGGCTCTACAGAGCTCAATCGAGCCATTGAAGGTTCTGGTCTCACCATCTGTTGGAAGGAGTAAAGAACGAGCTGAGCTCACTCCCCCAGGACCCTGACCACTCGGCCACCCCTACCTTGGTCCTCTGCCCTGGCACTCACTGGCAGTGATTCCAGGACTCATGTTACCACCACTTTCTGCTTCCGTGGGCAGAGCTGGTTCTCGGGGTGTCAAGAGCAGCTCCACTCCAGGCCCCACCAGCAGGTCTTTCAGGCCCTCCACTGAAGGGCAAGAGCGAGAGGTGAGGGCAGAGGCAACACAGACCCCTGTGGGGAATGGGAGGAGATGACACTTGCGCAATATAAGGGGGCTACGCGGCTGTCTAGGGGAATGGCCCTGCAGAGGCGGGCTCTCACTCACATCGCCACGCACGAAGCAGAGTTCATCAAAGGTGCCCAAGGGCAGCCCAAATGTGTGCAGCATGAGAGGAATCTAACAGAAGTAAGAACCACGTCTCTTCCCCTGACTTTCCCAGCACCTGGCACACAGCAGGCATTCCAGGGAGCTTAGGGACTGTGGGGCGGACATCCCCTCTGTCTGTGTGCAGCCAGGTCTAACCACGTGTGCACGTTCTGTGACAGTGAGTGGATGAGCATGCGCTCTTCCCCAGGGCTGCCTCACCCTCACGGATGGCATCCTGCAGCAGCCGCTCGCCACGAGGGGACTCAAGGGACTCGGAGCGGAAAAGGCCCCTGGGCAGGGCGGGCATGGGCCTCCCGCTGCTGCCGTCCTCTTCCACCTGGAAGTGGGTCATCTCGGCGAACAGTCCAACCTTCTCTTGCAGCAGCTCCACCAGCGCCCGGTCTTTCTGTTGCAGCTCCACTGTGGAGAAGGAGCAGGTGAGCACACCGAAGAGCCAGCAGCGGAGCGGCAGCCCTCCCAGAGGCAGCCCTAGGGATTAGGGGCCATGCCTGGGCAGAGTTGCACAACTGAATTTGGATTTTTTGGTAATTATGAAAAAGAAAAAGAAATGTTTTGGGGAATGGTAACACAGGCATTTTTGTTTTAAAAACAAAAGTAAAAAAGATTTGCAGCCGTCCAACAGCCTTCATCCCCGCCTTCCTTTAGTTAGAGAATGTGTATGAGTTCATCTGGGCACATGGCGCCCAGTGAGGCCACATCTCCCAATCTGATTTGCAGCTAGAATTTGCCACATGACTACATTTGGGGCGATGGGTGCGGTGCGCCTTCCAGGTCTACCCTCAAAAGAAAGGGGCACAAACTTTCCTTGTTTCTTTACTCCTCCTTGCCCCTTGCTAGCTGGGGTGCCAATTACACCCTAACTAATATGAGGCCCTATAGTGAAACAGTAAGTTACTGTCTCAATCCTGATCTCCCTAGTTCCCCTTCCCAGAGGCAGCCACAGTAACATCTTATCTTTGAAGAGATATTACAAACACACACATAATACATTTGACATATATCTGTCCCCATCATTTTTACACCAAAGGTAGCATATACTTCACGTTGTTTTAAACCTTGCTCTTTTCTTTTTTAAAAAAGATTTTATTTATTTATTTTTAGAGAGGGGAAAGGAGGGAGCAAGAGAGGGAGAGAAACATCAGTGTGCAGTTAGTTACCTCTTGAACTCCCCCCACTGGGGACCTGGCCTGCAACCCAGGCACATGCCCTGACTGGGAATCGAACCGGTGACCCTTTGCTTCGCAGGCCAGCACTGAATCCACTGAACCACACTAGTCAGGGCTAAACCTTGTTCTTTTTTCTTAATGATGTATTTTAGGTATTGATCTACATCAGCCCTCATAGAGCCATCTCATTTATTAAAATAGTTGCATATAATCCCATTGTGTGAATATATCATACATTATTTAACAAATTCTGTAGGTGGACTTACTCTTAATTCGCCGCAGGTAAGCCTCATCCTCCGTCTCAATCAGGGGGAAGTCCTCCCTGGATGGGCAGCTGGAAGCGTAACAGAGCGGGTGGGAGGGGCGGAAGGAAGCGGTTACAGACCAGACATGTGCTGCGCTTTCCCGTAAGACCCATTGGCCACATGCCCTGGTTTCCTTCGTTCTCGAACCTCCCCTTTCTCAGCACTGATCGTCTGCACTTGCTGCCTTGTACGGACCTCTCCTAAGGCCACCTGGAGGCAGCCGGTGCAGAGGGGCAACTCCAGCCTCTGACACCTGGCAAACGGGGCTGACCTCCTGGTGCCACGGTTTACCAGGTGATCGACTTTCTACTTCCTCCTCTGGAAAATGGGGATACTATCTCACAGGTTTTTCGTTAGGATTAAATGTAATAATGTAACAGTGCTTTTGACAATGGTGGAAGCTCAGTAAACTACAGTGAATTAATTTTCATTATAATTTTAAAAATTACAAATATTAATACTATTAACAAAGAAGCCACTGTGGATCTAATATCAATGTGACAGGTATTTTGCTAAAATAGGCAATTTCATAGTTTTGTATGCATTTCTGAAAACTTGGTGCAAAAGTCTAAATTGCAGAAATTAACAAAATAGGTTTACATATTATGAAGTGGAAAAGAATCCATTTTTCTGAAAGCTAAAAAAGAATTATAAACATCCTAATTGAGTATAATCTTTAAGAATCCATTTTCAACACTTTACATATATGCACTTTGCCCGACTGGCTTTGTCACAACAGACACGCAGCTGAGCAAATGTGACGGGTGTCCAACCAAGGCCGGAGTTGTTGCTTTAGCTCACTGCACACTTTCCTTCTCGCCTCCACCGCACGGAGTTTGTGTATGAGACTTGCTCCTCTTATCCCTAGCATCAATGCTTTCCTTTCTTTTTCATTCATTTTTAGAAAATAAAGGTAAAATGCAACACAACCCAAATAACTGCCTACTGCCTACAGACCAAGATGTTAAGGCAGCTGAAACTGGACTGCTGGACTGACAGCTGGTCCACCATATGACAGCTCAAGATATTCCTTTGCTTGTCAGCTCATGTTGCGTTTGAAAGGCGGTCAGGGTTGTCATATATGAGAACATAAAGGATGACCTTTTCTGCCTGGGGCCATCCTGTCTCCCACCCAGCCTCTGCCTCCACCTCTGAACCCTAGGTCCTAACCCCAGAGAGTGCTGTGGCCGGGGGCCCGAAGCCGCAGGCACCCTGAGGCCACACACACACTCACAGGCGCACACTCTGCTGAATGACTCGGATCCAGGTGTTCCGGTCGTCTCTCGATGCCGTGTGGACCTCATACATCTCAGGGGGCGCTGCACTAATCAGAAACATCCCTTTCTCCTGGTTGGCAATGTCCCGAACGATGAGATTCTGCAGCGAAACCACGGAGGGCTTGTCCTGTCGGTCAGGGGAAAAGAAGGATTAAGCTTGGGAATCCTGATCCTTGGATAATGGATGATTTTCAGTTCTTCTAGAATAACCAAAGGAAAGAGAAGTCTGCCCACAGTACAAGATAAGAGCCCCAACTTTGGTGCCAGCCAGAGGACCTAGAAGCATGTGTGACCCTTGGCAATTAACTTTTTTAAAACAGATTTTATTTATTTACTTTTAGAGAGGGGGGAAGGGAAAGAGAGAGGGAGAGAAACATCAGTGTGTGGCTGCCTCTGGTGCACCCCCTACCGGGGACCTGACCCGCCACCCAGGCATGTGTCCTGACTGGGAATTGAACTGGCAACCCTTTGGTTCGCAGGCCTGCTCTCAATTCACTGAGCTACACCAGCCAGGGCCATTTAATTAACTTTAAGCTTTACTTTCCTCATTTACAAAAAGAGGATATTAACTGGCCTTTCTCACAAGTGTGAAAGTGCCTGCACACAGTACCAATCCCTGCAAGTTTTCCTATTTCTTCTTATTTTATTACAATAATGGGTACAACCACAGCCATTGGACTCCAGAGGATTCCAGGGTTTTTTCGGACTCAGGTAGGAAACCAAAAAGGGCCTGAAACACTGGTCTGTGCTGACAGAGGAGGTGGAAGGCCTCACCAGGGCAGGAAAGATGTACTTCTGGTCCTTCTCTTGGAGAAACACCAACACATCTGTCATCAGCAGCATCAGCACATCTGGCAGGGGACAGAGGTGGGGAGAGCAGTCAGCATGAGAGGGTCTGAGCAGCAGTTCCCTCTTGCTCAAGGACCAGGCCAGGCGACCCCGTCTGGTCAGAGCTCCTGACCCCCTTCCTGGCCTCTCTTCCCTTTGGTTGCTTCCTCCACCTGTGCAGACCTCGCACCTCCCCACTCTTACAGCTCTGAAATGCGAGGGGAAAAAAGGATGCATGTGCCAGGTAAAACAGCTTCTTGGGCTAGAAGACACCAGGAGATTAACTAACGCCTGCGATGACAGACACCAGGAGATTAACTAACGCCTGCGAAGACAGCGCTCTTTACCCAACTGAGGCAGGCTTCTTAACCCGGGGCCCAGACGCCCCTCCCATGTCCACTGCTTGGCTGTACAGGCTCTGCAAACCCTCTGAAGCTGAGAATAAAAAGGATTCCCAGAGCAGGAGGGGCCATCCTTTGTCACCCCTGTTTCTAACCCTAGCTAACCTAAGACCGTGGGGTTATCAGACCCCAATCCCTGTGCCCAGCAGGCCCCCACTTCTCATTTGGTGCTGGGGAGGCGGGGAGGTTGGGCCCCTCACCCCCTCTCCCACAGCTGAATGAGGCCGTCTCCTTCTACCCTGGCAGCCCCCTTCGCCCTCCTCCTCTGCCCCGACTTCCAGGCTCTCACACCCTATGAGGCCCTGCACTTCCAGACTGCAGAGGAAACAAAGGTCAAGTCCATACAACTCAGATGTTGTGGTCAAGAAAACACACACTCACGCTATTCCCTTGGAGATCATACTGAACTGCGGGCACACAGAAAGGGAGGGTTTCTGCTAAATGCTTCTGAAATAAAGATCCCCAGTCTTGCTTGTTTTGACCTCCCCCCAAGGCTTATTATATTCTTAGCTGCTGTGTGGGACGGATGGGAAGGGGAGGAAGGGAGGAAGGAAAGAGGCCAGTGAGGAAGACTGCAATCCCCAGGCGCACGGGGATCCCAACACGGGACAGAGGCTCGGCCAGGCTCTGGCCTCAGGGCGCACAACTTACTTGTGCCGCCCACGCCTCACCCCAAGCCAGGCCTGCTACTGTCTCCCCTGGTTTAGGTGGGAAAGACCTGGTCAGTGCCGCATGGGAAGGGAGTCTGAGAAAGTGTGCCCATGCTCCCAACGCGCCCCCTGGCTCTTCTGTCTTCTGCAGTCTCTCTGTTCTTTGCTGGGCTCCACCCCCCACCCCCTCTGTGGGCCTTCCCAGCTGTGTTTCCAAGGCTCCTGCCCATTCCCCACCCCGGTGGCTGGGACTCCAGTGGGTAGAGCCAACTGCCCCAAGCCTGTCGTATGGTCCTGGAGCTTCTCTGTGTTCCTCATCAAAATTGGTAGCTCTCTGGGCATGAAGGGCCCAAAGAAATGAATAAATACTGACAAGGAAGCCCCTGTGCGGTGCATAGAGTTAAATCCAGAATGCAGACTTTCACTGAAACAAAGACCATGTTTTTTCCTCTCACTAGTCTCACCCTGGGTATAAGGCTACACAGAGATCTAAGGACTGAATGTCTCTCCCTCTCAATCTCTGACTGCAAACTCTTGCTCGGCCTGCCAAGGTGACCACTAACCTTTGAAGCGGCCAGTCGCTGTCTTCCAGAGCAGGCAACCATCATGGATGAGCTTGCGCCGCAGAAGCTCCTCTCGGCCAAAGGGGCCCTTGCCAGGCACCGGTGTCTGGGCCCGGGGGTCCATGCGGGTGTAGATCTCCTGCAGGCGGGCCCCCTTCTCCAGCTCATGCACATCCTGGTCCACATTGGACAGCAGCTCCTTCACCAGCCCCAGAGCCGTCGTCAGGTCCCGGCGCTCCTCCTCAAGCCCTGGCACCGAGGTCGGCAGGAGGGATGGCTCAGCCAGCCAGCTGCACCTCAGCCCCCATTCCCGTCTAGTCTCGATCCCACTGTCAGAGGCTGCCTAGGGTTCCACATCTGTCACTACCCCTTCTCTTGTCATCCCGAGCCTTTTCATAACCCAGACAGCCCTCAGCCCCGTCCTCTCCCGGGCCCTCCCTCTCACCGTGGGAATGCTGCAGGATTCGGCTGATGAGCACTGGGTACTTGGTGATGCGCTGGGTCACGAGCAGGATGCACTCCTGCACCCCATGCCGCTTCAGCACAGCCAAGCGGGTCACTTTCTACAAGGGCAGAGGCAGGGCTCAGGGCCAGAGTGGGCCCAGAGGGAAGGGCAACATGGAGAATGCTGGATTTGGAGCCTACACTCTGGTGCTGGCCCTAATTTGGCCATTGACCTCATGCCGGCTTAGGTGAGCGCATCTGGAAAATGAGGGTATGATGCCACAGGTTTGTTGTGAGGACAATCAGACCAAGTACTGAAAAGCTTTTGCTCTACTGCCACAAGGGGCTCCGCCAGCTCACGGTCCACAGAAGCTGGTAAGCACCTCATGTGCGGGTGGGTGCAGCACATATGTGCATCCCATGAATATGGCAGGCTGGGTTTGGGCCACTAAAGGAGGCCAAGTGTGTGTCCTGAGGAGGTTTGCTTACCCGGATGAACTGCTGGAAGCGTTTGTCTCGGGCATACAGCTCCTTATAGAGCTTTAAGGCCTTGGTGTGGCGGCTACAGAATTCTGAGTAGGTCTTCCGCATCTGCTCTGCACTGGCACCTGAGAACTAGGAGTTGGGGGAGCAAGGCTGGGTCAGCATATCCCCCAAAGCCACACCTTATCTCCTGATACCCTCTGGCCTCTGGCCAAACAGGCTGGCTTCCTGCCGCTCCAGACCTCCCTGGCCCCACCCCCTGGAGCTCGGAGGTAGGAAATGCCCACTCCAGTCAAACTTTCTCCCATGCGTGTAGCCCGTGGGTCCTCCCTTTTCTCACCTGGCTGATGAGTAGGTCACCCAAGCGAGGAATGACGAAGTTCCGTGTGCTGCCAGGGCACAGGGCCTGACGCCGGCGGTCTAACAGCTGGCTGAGGAAGCGGGTGTGGATGTCGCTGAGCTCATCCACACAGGGGAACAGGCCCTGGACCACTCCTGGCTCCAGCTGCAGCTCTTCCAGCATCCCCGTGCGGAAGAGGCGGGTCATGATTTTCAGCGTCCGCACGTGGTGCAGCTCCGTCTGGATTAACTCTGTGTGGACAACGGGACATCTGACCTCTGTCCTGCTTGGCCACAATTGGTGGGACCTAGGCTGGGGGCCTCGGAGCTCTATTAGAGGTTTTCAAGGTTCCTTCCAGGTTAACATTCTGCATTATTATGACCTTAGATCATTTACTACTTTTTTTCTTTTTCAATTTTGAGAGTACGTTTATAAAAGCTCAGGACAGTAAAACGAGCAAGGCCATAGCTTAGAAGAAGCAACAGGAGAGCCTAGAAGGGGCTGCTTTTGCTCACTAGGTCGTCAGAGAAAGGGGCCTTGGAGACAGGATCGGGGGTAGGCCCAGGATGAGCTGTTGCTGCCATTGCTCCCCTGGTTGCAAGTCTCATGGGGACCCTCAGAGTTTAGGAGATGCCCCCCGAGAGGGAATAAGAGCATGGGGTGTGCTCCTGAGAGGGAGAGCGAGACTGGCCTTAGAGAACTTTCTAACCAACTTTTATCCTGATGATAGTCTTCTCGAGTAGTAAGCGGTTTTAAGGCGAGAACCATGCGTCCTCTGCACGTCTGGGTCTGCCAGGCCCTAGTGTGGTGTCAGGCATGGAACGGGCACAGAGTAAAGACTAGGAACTGACCTGAATGAAGGGATATGGGTAGAGTCTCGGAGGGCAGTGGAGTAAGAGGGAAGGGTCTTGGGGCTGGGGGCTGGCAGAGGAAGGGCACTGCCAGGGCCCGGTGAAGGAAGAGAAGTCTCAGGGAGGTCTTGCTCACCATAGATGACATCCTGTTGCTTCATCACCTCCTTTTTGTGCTGCTGCAGGAAACTGCTGTCCACAGCAAGGCTCCAGGAATCAGCTGCAAAGTCCTTCTCATCCATCTCAAAGTCGCTCATCAGCTCATTGTAGATCACCTCTGCACCTGACCGTCAGTGGGGGAAACAACTCAGAGCCAGTCCCCTAGATCCTGGGTCCTTCTCGAGCCCCCTCCACAGGCCTGCCCGCCAGCCCCTCCCCCTAGGCACCCCCCAGGGCCCCGCACGGTCACCTTCATCAATGAGCGACTCCACCGACAGGGTTCGGTTCCGCATGTTGAGGGAGTCTGTGGACTGGGAAAGGATCCGGCGCAGCCCCAGCGGAGATTCATCGTTGAAGTGACTGAGGGAGGAGGGGGCGACTGCATCACCCCAACGCAGGCAACAGCCCTTCCCAGGCGCAGGGCCACGGCCAGGACCCAATGGGCTGTCGCCCTGAGCTCTCCGTGCCTGTCTGTCTAGAATTCGGAGCCCAGGGGTGCAGATGGCGAGGACCCCTCAGCCTCCCTGGTCTCCACTGCCACATTCTCTGCCTGCCTGGCTCTCCCATCCCCAAGCAGAGGCTCACCCAGCAATGTTGGTAGTGGAAACACTCTTGGCTAAAGACAAGGAGGAGCGGCCGCGGCGGGAACCAAGCAGGGACTGCCGGAAGCTGTCAGAAGGGTAGATGGCAGAGCTCGGCCGCTCCCGCGTGGTGGCTGTCCGGAGTGCGAAGCAGGCACGTGTCAAATCTGCCGCCTTCCCAGGCGTCAGGCCCCCCAGCTCCAGACTAGAGGTGAGGCCTCCTCTCCCACCCCGCCCCTAGCCCCTAGCCCCCTCTAGTCAAAGAAAGACGGTAATAGTCATGCCACCTTATGTTTGTGCAAGACTTTCAATACACAAAGAGTTTTTCTTGTCTTATCTCTTCCCCGAAACATGCCTCTGAGCAAACTAAAGCTCGGAATAGCTACAAGACTCGTCTAAGGTGACTCAGCCAGTGGCTGAGCAGGGATGCAGACTCCGGTCTTTTTGACTAAGCACCATGCTCTTCTTGTTCCCCCAAAACTATCTTAACTCACACGTGACAGCTGCCACAAACACCCAAATGCAGTGTAAACAATAATAATAATGCAGGGCGACCAGGCTCAGATGACCAGCCACCCCAAACCCTCACCCCCTTTGGTTTCTCCTGTTCTTCTGCCCCCTGAGCCCAAGAGTCTGGACATCTCACCATCTGCTTCCAGTTAAGGGGAGGAAGGTGCTGACCCAGGGAACAGCCCCAAAGGGGTGGCAGAGCCCATGGGCAGAAAGGCTTGGGTCCAGGACCCCACGGGGGCTCCTGCACTCGCTCACTACTCACTCTTACTGCGGAGTGAAACAGACTGCAAGGCAGTATTGTTCTTCAGCAGTGCAGCTTTCTGTTGCTGTGAGACAGAGCAAGAGAGAGATACCAAGGACAGCTGTCACCCGGAAGTCACCCCCATCGGCACAGGGCAGGAGTTGGGCAGCTGGCCCCCTTGGGAGAAAGCTGTCACGATGGCTGAGGGCGTTGGGGTGGCTGAGCCCAGTGCTGGGGAGATACGCCTCCAGCCACAGGCTGGCCCGCTGAGGGCCCGAGGTCTGCGGGTGAGGGTCTGGGCTGCCCCATGGCGGGGACAGGGGTTGAGGAACACAGGGCAGGAAACGAATGAAGAAGGCAGAGGGCACCGCATACTCACTACCCTCTCCCCCAGCCCTCGGCCCTCCCTGCCATCTCACCTTCTGCTTGACCTTGGTACAGTTGGCGAGGGTGTCTTTACAGCGGTTGTGGATAGTCACATTGCAGGCTGGGAGGGTGGGGTAAAGAGGGTGAAGGGAGGGCCGGGTGGTGCAGGAGGGGACATACCCGTATGCAGACACCCATCTCCCCCTGGCCACACAGTCTCAGAGACTGTCCCCCCTGCCCAGACTCCTCAAACATCACCGCACCCCAGCCCTCTCCTCCCGCCTGCCCCTTCCTTAAAGCAGGAAGTGAAGTGAGGAGGCACACATGCTGACCGCAGTTACGGTCAGGGCAGTGGGCAGTTCCGACTCAAAGGTGACCTGAGGGGTAAACTGCAGGGAAGAAGGGATTACTGGCTGCCAGAGATGAGCTCAAGATGCACAAAGGTGGTTGAGAACGACAGATGGAAGAGAGGACGCCCACGGGACAGAAGATGGCACAGGAGCAGCTGGGATGGGGGCTCAGGCTGAGGGAGAAAATTAACATTCCCCCGAGCACCCAGCAGACGTTCCACATGTACTTGGTCCTCACGACCCTTGCAGGCAGACTCAGTTTTCCTCATTTCAGAGATGAGGAACCTGTCCTGGAGAGGTCAGATCATCTGCCAGAGGTCCTACAGCTTGAGATAAGGCCGGTATTTTGACTGAGGCTGAGTGCACAGGCTGTGCCCTCTCTGTGGGACCCCACATCTGCCCGCGAACACTGGCTTAGACCCGAGCAGTGTGAGGGCTAAAGGGCCCAGGGATGGAGCGGGCACAGGCCCCGCCCAGCCCCACCCTCCGCTGCTCGCCTTCTGCTCAGCTGGCTCTGCCTCCAGTCAATCTGCCTTCTAGCTTCCAGGCCCAGGGAGTCGTGTTCTCCAACTAAGGGGAACCTAGAGCTCTCACACTCCGCCTGCTTTTCCCGTCACCACCGGCCACACCTCGCCAAGGGGGAGGACAGGAGAGGAAAGGAAGAGCAGCCAAGCCCAGTCACTGGGATCACTGGTTGTCCCTCCCCCCAACACACACCCTACACCCTTGACCCTCTCCAGCTGCCCCTCCCCCTCCCGACAACACCGGAAACTCTGCTAACTCCTTCAGACAATACCCAGCACCTCACTCACTTCCACAAATACAAGGCAAGCAGGGGAGGGCAGAAGGGCAGACAGAAGAGGGGGGGGGTGCCCCCACCCCCCTGGAGCTCCCTTCTCCGACACCCCCCCACCGCGCACCCAGTGTCTCTGGAGTGAACCTCCGCTTTCCACCTGCTCTGAAAATAGCACTTGCTGGCTGCCCGCCTCACCGGTTTCCCTGGCAACAAGCTCTGGATGGGGAATTTTGTCAGGTCTCTAAAGGGCTCTAGATTGGGGTTCCCTCCTCATCTTCATAAGTCTAAGTTGAGCAACAAGAAAGTAGGGAGGCCTCACTGGTTCTTTCTGGGGGTTCCTTCCCCAGTCCCTGAGGGACTCAGAGGCTGGAACTGTGGTCTCACTTTGCAGCCGCAGCTCACAACACCTCAGTCCTGCTTTCAGCACGAGCAGCTCTTGGCCATAAACTGGGGGTGGGGTGGAACAGGGCAGGAGCCCTCTGTGTGGACACACAGGCATCGGGAAGGGAAAACTGTACTTCCTAAATCCAGGACCACCCTCAGCGTGGGTGAAGGTCAGGAGTCCTAACCCTCACCCCCCAAAACACACACACCCTTGCTGTGCGCCCTCTTCCCAAGGCGTGTCAGTTAGTCTCGGAGGTGAAATACAGGGTCCTAAGTCCATCCTCTGCTTCAAGCTGCAGAGATTGAGAGATTTCATGCTCCACCCACAGTGAACAGAAAGGGAGGGGCAAAGGGCCCTTGAAGCCCTCAATGTCCAGTTCTGCCCGGAAGACAGACAGAAACAACTGCAAAGTCGGTAGCTTGCCACCCAGCTCTCCTATCCCCCCCACCACCTGCCCTCGCGTACATTCTTGCTCCTTCTCCCATCGGTTCCCCTAACCGTCAGCAGCTGTTCAGGGAGCCAGACACACCCAGAGGACGACAGCTGCACAGGGAGCCATCCTAGTATCCCCTCCCAGAAAGTCCCGCTTGTGCTGTATTCCGACTGCCGCCGCCGCCCGCCCCTCCTTGGGAGGAAAGGGAGCGAGAGATCAAGCATCTGGCCCTGGCATTTGGTCCCTGCTGGGACTCTGAGAGGAAAGTGACCCCTACGGATCCAGGGCAGAAAGGACAGATGGGAAGATTAGGGTAAGTGGGCACCAAGTCAAAGTGACATTCGGGGCCAACTTACTCGGGCAGATGAGGGCCTCCTTGGCTGTGATGCTCTTGTTACAGGCATAGCACATGGTCATGCCCGAAACGGAGATGGTGGTGAAGAGGTGCCCGTTGGTGTAGCGGGCATCCTTGGCTTCCTTCATCTTTTCCTTTTCCCGGGTCTGTGGAAGGGTGAGAGAGACAGTAAGGGAGCTGGGAAACGCCAGGGTGGCCGAGGGATCCAGAGAGACAGGCCAGGGAGGATGCCGGAAAGACACCACTGCCGGAAGCAGGGCCCACCGCAGCCGACCAGGGCTGACCGGGCTGGCCCCGAGGGCCTGGCTGGCCCCTGACCTACCTGGCCCCTGCGGCTGGGCTGCCTCCTGTTGCCACTCATCTCCCAGCTCTAGACCTCGGCGTCCTCACTCCACCTCAAAGCCCTCGCTCTGCTCGCCCCCAAGCTGCTGTGCTCTCTTCTCTGTGCCAGGGGAATATGCGCAGAGAGGAAGGGAGAGCAGGCGAAGCAGAGGGTGCCAGCTCACCAGAGCCTTCAGATCTATGGGAGTTAGCTCTTCTTATTACCATGACAACTGGAGTTGGAGTTGCTGTCTGTCTCTGAGGCAGTCACAGTGGGGGGGCAGGAGATTCCCTTATTAGATTGGCGGAAGGGGGCAGCATCCCTCCACTACCCCCTTCAACCCAGAGGCAGGGCCCCAAAGCTCCCAGTCTTCCACACACACTCAGCCAAGGTACTGAGGGCCTCTAGGCAGGAGGCAGGAGGCAGGAGGCAGGAGGCAGGAGGCAGGGTGTTCTCCTGAGGGAGGAGGAGGAGCCTGCCTGGTTTCGGCCTCGGGTCACTCCCCCTCTCCTCCTCTGGCTGTTGAAGGAAGGAAACCCAGCTGGCTGGGTGTCATTTCTGACAGGAAGTCTCTCCTGCAGCATAGCTTTTATCTCTCTCATACAACCCTCCAAAACCTAAGGTAGCTCCTTCTACTCCTCCCCACCCAATGAGTATCTTCCATCCTAGAAGTCCCTTCCGGCAACCACCCTCCATGCTCCAGCTGCAACACCAGCTTTTCCGGCTCTGGTCTCCCAAGATGGGGCCCACTGTGTGCCCTTCCTCAAAACTTCAGAGGGGGGCCGTTCCCATCTCTGCCCTCTTCTCCTGCTCCCCTCTGATCTCCGTACCTCTTTGTCCCTCCACAAGCCCCGGACTTCCCTGAAAGCCTGAGGAGGTGAGAAGATGGGATATCGTCCTTCCCACCTATTCCAGGGCCTTCTGCGGCGGTCACCTCGGATTTTGGAATTTCCGCTCCACTCTTAGAGGAAGGCAAGCGAGAATGGGAGCCGACCAGACCACCCTCTAAGTTGGTTTCCCAGCTTCTCAGAACCAACAAGTGGATCCTATTGCTGAAGCCAAGGGTACGAGCCTCAAGTTGGAGGACACGGGTGGGGCCTGAGACAGAGAATTAAAACTCTGGGAAGAGCCCTCAGGATGGACCTTAGAAGCCAGTCCTGCCTCTCAGCCCAAGCACACTAGTGGCGAAGAGGTGGGGGAGGGGCACGGACACACTGGTCTGGTGCTCACGGTGGAAACGGGAAGTGCAGAGGGACTGAGTCAACACCACAGGGCCCGGGGCGCTGGGCCACAGTGCCCTAGCTCAGCCTCCAGACTTGGTGGCCCAGGATCCTCCCCTCCGCTACCCCCGCCTCCAGAGGCTCCAGGCTTGTCTGGTGATGAGGTCTTAAGTCACTTCCCACCCAGGTCATCCTTTTTCTCCTCTCCTCTCCTCCCCATCCCATGCCCTCCCTCCTCCTCCAACCTCTACCTTCCCTTTCTCACCCTTGCCTCCCCTCCACTGCCCTTGGCCCTCTCCCTCCCCGCTCCTCTTCCTAGGCCTGGTTAAGAAAGCTGAGCAGCCTCTAACTCTAGCCTCCAATATTTTAAGCCTCCTTTTTTCTTTCTCTTTTTTAAAGATTTTATTTATTTTTAGACAGAGGGAAAGGGAGGGAGAAACAGAGAGAGAACATCAATGTGTGGTTGCCTCTAGCACACCCGCCAACTGGAGATCTGGCCCGCACCCAGGCATGTGCCCAGACCGGAATTGAACCAGCGACCCACTGATTCCCAGGCCCGCACTCAGCGCACTGAGCCACACCAGCCAGGGCACCTCCCTTTTTCTATTCTGGAACCCACCTACCTGGACTACTAGAAAATTCCCCTTTTGGCCTAACCTGCATGTGTCTTGCTCTTTAGAAGATCAAATCCTACTCTGAATAATAATCTTACAGAACCTCAAAGACCAAGGCCAATGTCCTTTTCTCACTGCCACACACACTCAGACCTCTCCTCCTTGCCCACCCACCTGCCCAGTTTTCTCTAGGACACAGACAAAAAGTCTGAGCACTTGTTATGTTGGACTTAAAAGCAAGCAAATACATGAATATTGATACAATAATCATATTTTTAAAGTAACAAGTCTAAATCAAGGTCAACTGCAGAATGGGCAGTGCTACAGATCTGCCCTAATGCCGCTACCACTCTCCTCGCCCACCCCGGCCCCGGGCCCCGGCCCCCGGCCCCCAGCCCCCGGCCCCCCAGCCCCCCAGCCCCCCAGCCCTAGGCCTCCAGGAGCACTCACCCAGAAGGAGCGGCGTGGGGAGGGAGGCCTGGGGCTGCCAGGGAGTGGGTCTGTAGTGCTCCTCCCTCACTGGCATCGGTGCCCCATGGGCAACCTAGGTGCTCTGTGCCCAGGCTTCTCGACCTCCCAACACTCACCCTCTCTCCAAGTGACCCCCTCTCTGGGTGGGCCAGCAGTGGGCAGCAGCCACAGCAACAGCACATCCCAACTCGGGCACTGCCCAGCAGTGAGCGACCCAGGCACTGCCCAGCACTATTGTCCTGGAGGCAGGCTGTGCCCGCCCCAGGGCTCAGGCTGGTGAGGACAGGAAGACACAGGGCCTGCTCACCCGGGGTGCCTGGCCCGGAGAAGGAGCGAATCGGTTTGTTCCTACTCTTTTCCAGGTATTCTGAAGATCATCACATTGGTCCCCCGTGTACTCACCCCCCATCAAGACAGCCCTTCGCCTCCAGGCCCCAATCTGTCCACCGAGGAAAGGGCCCATCACTTCACAATCCATGACACCCACCACCAACACTTGGAGGCCCTTCCTGCTTGACTCAGCACTCTGCGGCCCGTGTCTAGAGTCACTCTTGCTCATAACCCCCCCGGGGAAGTCTTTCTTGCTACACAGCTTCATCTACACCGCTGCTACATCAAAGAGAAGTGAATAAAGCACCCAGGACAATGGCTGGTATACAACAGATAATCAATACATGTTTGGAAAGGACAGAAAGGAAGCATAGGTGGACACATAGATAGACAGATGGATGGATGGATGGACACCAAGACAAAGGTTCCCAGCAGCACCCTTGCTCCTGTCCTAAGGGCCCTCAATGCTCCTTTTCTCCCTCTTCCTGAAGGGCTCCCCACCCCCTCTCCTCTTGCTTCCTTTGAGTTCAGACCTGGAGGCCCAAAGGCCGACCCAATCCTTCCTGCACCACCATCCCAGATCTTGGTCACTTTTGGAGACAGACTGGGTAAATGGCATAGGGCACTGTGGCCGGTGGCCCCAAAACCCAAGGCCGAGGCAGTCTCCCCGGACGAGAGAAGAAGAGAGAAAACAGTAGCATAAATGAAGGACAAGGTGCTGCCAAAGCCTGGACCTGGGCTTGCCGTCCTCCCGGGGGCAGCCGGGGTCGGCGGAGACTCTGCAGGAGCATCAGGGCCTCCCCAAGGCAAAGCCTCAGCCCTCAGATGTCCCCGTTCCGCATCGGGTGTGTCCAGACCAAGAGCTCTGGGGGAGCCACGGGGCACTCAAAATTGTCCCTGCTCCAGCTGCAACTGGCAGCAGCCCCTTCCCCAAGATGGGAAGGCCTCTCTGTCTAGGTCCTCTGTATGGTGACCAGAAGGCCCTGGAGAGTTCGACCGGGATTTGAATCATCTGTGGCTCAGCCTCTGGCCAGTAGGAGTACAGAGTCGTAGGCCGTGAGGACCGTGAGTCACGGGGATGAACTTCAGGGCCGGGAAATGAGAAGCGGTCATTCGTGGGACTGAGAGGAGGGCTAGGACGGTCTCCACAAGGCTCTGTCCTTTATGAGCTTCCAGGGACAAGATAAAGAAGGCTCAGGAGAAGGCAGCCAACTGAAACACGAATGCCAAAGCCAGACACACAACACACAAAAATATCGCTGAGCACACAAAGGCTCTTAATAAATGCTTGCTTGATGGATGAGGATGAGACGCTGGGCAATGGGGGTGGGCACACTGGTGAAGCAGAAGAGGGGTACTCAGGGCCACTGGGAATAAAATCAGGCTAGAGACCCTGAGACCCAGGCATCCTGGACCCCAGCCTGCCCCCCACCCAGCCACACCTGTCGGGTCAGGACAGGGAGCCCAGAAGAGGGGCGGGGGAGTGACGCAGACAGACAGGCGTTTGTGCAAGCGAACAATAGCTGTGCCAGGGCTCCCTGCCCTCCTGGCACAAGGCAGGCCGGTGGAGCTGGGAGGGGGGCAGCTGCGGCCTGCAGGCCCCCTCCCCCAAGAGACATAAACAAACCCAGAAAGGCCCAGCCAGCTCCTCTCAGCCATTTCTCTTATCAGCCCCGGAACTCCAACCAATCTGCTCACTCAGGCTCCTGGACGATACTTCAAACCAGAGATCAAAGCTAAGAATGGAACAGTTTTCTCATATCCTGCTTTGGTGACCACCATTCAAAGCAGTAACTCAGAGCATCTGGGGACGGACAGACACACATACATATACACCCCAACACAGGTCATGTGCATGCATGGGACTCATACATTCAGATCTGTCCCCTCCCTGATTCCAAGGGCAGGGACCCAGGAACCTAGGGGGACTGAGATCAGACCCCTCTTTAAATCCTTTGGTCAGCCCCAGCAGGTTCCTGTCTAGGCTCATCCAACTACTCTGTCGCCACTCAGTGACTTCCCTAAGCTTTCGGCTCCCCTCCCCCATCCTTGCTTCTCCCCTCCCCCTCAGCTCTTTCCCTCACCTCCATGACCCCTAGAATCTTTTCCTATGCCCCTCAAAGCTTCAGCCTCCTGGGGATCCCCAACTCTCCAACTTCCCCCCAAACTGCCACGCCCCTCAGCTCCCT